TCTCCTTGGGTGGGACTAACGGAATACATTCTGCTGATGGCTCCAGTATCTCTTTTGCGATCGCGCCACACCTTTTCCTTAGGATCGAAGACATAATGATGAGGGATTTCAGTGTACAAATACTGATGAGCCCTGACATCCCTACCATTCAGTTGGAACCATTCAGTGAGGGTAGGTGCCTCTGATGACTTCTCTTTCGGCTGCTTCCTTTTCAAACCCTTCTTGAAAGTATACAGACTGCTCATTTTCCAGATGTACAGCCAATCGTACAATTGGATGAGACTGCTCATGCATATGAAAACCGAAAAGTCTCTATATCTCAAAGGTGAAAGGTCATGAAGAAAAATGGACCTGACTGGCGAACTCAGGCTGCTGAACGATTCCTACACACAAAAAATCGTATTATTTGAACGAAAAATGACCGTGGTGACCCAAGGTGGCCCAGCGACCCACCGGTGGCAGGGCCACCAAACTCCGTCGTCCTGATGCCCCACCCCTAGGAAGCCTAAGTTTAAAGTTTCAGGGTCAGGGATCAAACCGTCTAGGAGGAGAAGCGACTACGCACAGACACTTACGCTCATTAGTAAGGTAGATGTTGCTACACACATGGGCCCATCTCATCCACACCACTCAGCAACGTGTGACAGTTGCCCTTATTATGTACCTTCCAAGTATGCTCAACATTGGCAACAAGGTGGAGGGGAAATCAATCTGAAAACATAACACCTAAAAAGATGTGATGTGCGATCCCACCTTAGAATTGGATTGCCCAGCATCCAAGTCGGAGCTCCCTGACAGGCTGCCTTCCTCGAGAGCCAGCTGGGCAGATTGTTCAATCTCCTCCAGTTCTCCATACAGGACTCCCAATTGCTTGTTCACCATCAGAGGCTGCAGAGAAAAATATGCACGCAAACTAAAGAACGTTGGACAGTCATCAATCACTATAGGAAATCAGTACCCAAATTATAGCATCACTACACAGACGTATGTGTCAGACTTGGGTGAAAAAATGCTAAAACTCAAATGAAAGACACTGGATCTGATGGACCTTACAGCAAGGTGCTCTGAAATGTTTGCCCTTGAGTAGTAGCATGTGTTTCCCAAAGCTAACATTGATTATTTCTTACATATACTTTACAGTAAAATATTGAATTGAATGTCTCAAGCATCAAGGAGCACAAAAAGACAGGGCTTGTTATTTACCTGGGTCATGGCATCTATTTTGGCCTGATCACAGAGGAGGATTTGGTCCAGATTCTGAGTATCCATCTGATATCGAAACACCAGATCAGAGGTGAGATCCACATTCCTGAGCCAAAATGGCTGCGGTAGATGTGGTCGATCGGGCAAGTTAATCTTCTTGGGAGAGACAGTACCAGTGTCATTGGAAGACTCCCACGCACTGCTAAAGTTAATGGGACTCCCCTGAAGATCCGTCTTGAGAAAGGAGTCAATGGAGTCTAGGGGGCTACTTTCAGTGTTGGAGGAATATCCAACACCTGCTTCAAGGCTGCAATGTTCAGGCTTTGATGAGGATCCTCTGAAACTTCGAAATGGGAAGGAACCAGTTGTGTCCATGTCAGCCTCTTCATCAGTCTCTTTTTTGAAGGCTGGGGATCCTCCTATGCTCTCTTTACCCGAACCAGGTTCCACTTTCACTGATGTGGCTCGAGATCCCACCTGCTTCCCTGATGGCTGAATAGGAAAAACACCCCATCTTTCATTCACCACATTTCACAAATGCCACCATTTTTCAAAATAGTCAATGAAAACTCTTCATAGGAACCATGATATAGTGCATTATTAAAATTAACTTCTGCACTGACCAATTTCAACATTCCTCCTTCCAAAAAATGAAATTCTGGTTCCAGACCACTCCTTTCCATGACAGTCATGTAGAGGAGAGATTTAAACATCTACAACATTCTTTGTAAAAGAATCCATTTCCCAGCAGGTAATAAGAGTGAATGTAATTGACATAATAAGACGCCTTGTGTGATCATCAATGGGTATTCTTATGCTTGTTCCTTCATATGAAGGAACAAGCATAAAAAACAAAGACAAACAAAAAAGAGAAACAGAAGAGAAGACACTCACACTGCATGTGCAGGAGGGAAGACAATGTCCATGACTCAGGACCTGCGAGACATGCATGGCAGGATGGTCTTGGTCCTCCCGATAACCAGGGGCTGGTGGGCAAGGAGGATACTGCAGTGGAAGGTCTGAATCAGATACAGCTCCTAGGCTTTCTGATGGAATCAGCAGGGACACATTTGGTAACATCATCATGGTCCTCTGGCCAGTTCCTGTTGGGTTGGTTATCACCAGTGTTGGCATTGACACTAAAATTTGGCACAAAAAAACAAGGGATCCTACATAACAGAATGATTGATGCAGCATTATCATGGAAGTGATGCACATTTTTAAACAGCCTTTTGCATTTAAGATGAGGACGTAGTTATTGAACACTTAAAAAATGCAATATTAGAACATATTCTCCTCACTGCCAGCTGCAAAAGATTTTTAGAAAAATGTATTTGGTCTATTTGAACAAACTTTTCTAATGATGCATAAAAAATTTCATTATAACTTTGTACAACAAATATCATATACAATCCTACAGCTCAATGCTAGCTCATTTTCATCATTTGTGGGAAAAAATCAACCACAAAGTGCAGTGCAAGATGCCAGAGGTTTGAAGAGGACACGAGTTCCTCCTACATAAAGACACTCATTCAAAGAACAGGGGGAAGGAAACAACTCACTGTGTGGAGACTGGCCAATTAAAGGAGCAGAGACAGTCTCTGAAGGACATGTACCATGGTTTGGACAGAATCCTCCACTAACAACTGTCCCTCCAAACGCAGAACTAGATAGAAGGAAATACACATTTATGATTCACGTGCATTAGACATCTAGGAGATGCAGGGTATGAACGAGGCAGCAAGAAGCTGCAGAACACCTGGAATAGGGTCTGAGGGACATGGAAAATGGAGGCCAGACATATGGACTGGCTTTAGGGGCCGCAATACCAATTGCACCACCAGATCTATGTCCAGGGTTGATGTGATGGCTATGGTGATGAGCCAGGTGGGGATGTTTCCGCTTGCCTCCAACCCTCGAAACCTCTGCTTTCCGCTTCTCCCCGCGACATTCCTGAGAATTTCAAGCACATTCACCTCAACATCTGTCACAGCAAACTGGAACAAAGTCAAAATTAGGAAGAACTAAATTTAAAAAAAAAACCTTATGGTGATGTTGTTGAAAAGCTTGGCACACTCGTTCCACCAAGGACTCGATTCCCTTTTGTCGATCCTCCTTATGCTGTTTGACCAGCATCTTCTCCTCTGTCTGGTTGTGCTTTGACAGCATTTCCTTGGTGAGGTTTGATGGGTGGGCATGCCCCCTTGGATGCACCACCCCTACAGGGGGACATAGGATCTTGGACACACTGCTGCCCAAGTCAGTGTCCTGATGACTGCGTTCTCCATTGCTGCAGTTATTGGATGAACCCGTCCGACTGTTGTTATTCGAGGACATGTTCCCATTGCTCTTCTTCCCCAATGATGAATTTCCATTACTGTTGTTGCCAGAGCTGATGGATTTCCTGAAAAAATGCTTTTTTTAGTAGCTCAAAATCACTTCCATATATGCCTCTAATGCCAAAGAGCAAGTAAAAATGGACTCACTGGCCTCTCTTTCCAGAGCCAGATGCCATGACATCATCATCTGTACTAAGGATAGGGGACTGAAATGGAACGAGGTTAACTGAGGAATCATCCGAAGAGCTCCGGTGCTGTTGGCTCTTGAAGAAACTGCAAAGAAGAAATTTATATTTAAAAAAGAAAGGAATTCACCCCACAGTTACCTTAGGTCAAGTAAGATTTAAAAAAACCCAAATTGACACCGCAGTATACCTTACCGTATAATATTGTCATTGTAGTTGAGTTGATTGTAGCTGGGAAGAGTGGATGAAGAGGACCCACTCTTGTCCTCGGCTTCCACTTCTCGACATGGAGATATCTGACCCATCATCACCGATCCCTCTTTCTGTATGTGGAATGGGAAAGAACCTTTCAAGTGAGGACATGTTTTTCATGAAAAACCACCACTCCCAAGTACAGCATGAAATGCCTGGAACCCTGCAGCCATTTGTTGAATCTCTTGCTGGAGGAAAACAGCAGTTACGCGTTCCTGACCCTCCACATTTTCTCTATCGGCGGCCTCTCGTGTTAACACCCTAGCACAAGGAATCTAGGCAGAAAGAAAGCTGGTTCCTCCAGACAAGAAGGAGCAACTGACCGAGCTACAGGGCCTCCTTGGGGAACTGAAGGGCACATCGCCTGCCTGGGATAACAGCTGCTCCACCCTGTGAACCATGTCCATGCGACGAGGACCCACCTTCTCCACTCCTCCATGGGTGCAAGACTATAGTACAGACCAGACAATGAAGATCAATATCATTCTCTAAAATTGGGCATCAAGGTTGCTGATGAAATCTCATGAAAAAATACTTACTCTATTGAGAAGCTTCTTTATCTGCTCCTGCAAGTTAGAAGCATCCACCTTGGTGCTTTCAAGCACTGAGGGCCCTCCTTCCTTGGGCATGTAAAACACATCTGGATTGCTGGGACCCTGAAAGCAATGCAAGTCTACAATGGCTGCAAGTCTAGGTGTCAAGCAAACTGTCAAAAATGGGTATTTCCAGTCATACCTTGTTTACTTTGTGTTGTCCAATCACAAACTCTAGTCGGCACGTCCAGGGATTGATGAAGCATGACCAATCAGTACTCATCTTAACATAGCAGCCATTTTGAGCCCGAACACGAGACATGTGGCCTGGGCAAGGCACCCGATCATGAAGTAACACTATCAACAACAACAAAAGTGGAGAAATGCTACATTGCAGAACACCAGGAACTCTACAGATAGCAGAGATAGATCAAGACTTACAGTTTTCAAAGTCTTTCTTCATGGTGCTCAGGTCATCAGGATGATAATATTCAAATATGGAGTTCCCAACGAGATCCTGAGGGAGGTAGCCCAGGTAGGGGATGGCTGATGGATCCATGTGACTGAAGTAGCAGTTGGAGGTGTGACGAGTTCCAAATGACAGCATTGATGGTGTCTCATCGGGTACTGTGAGCAGAGAGCAAATAAGTCCATCGTAACTCCCACCGTTGAAATATTAATCATTTGATTAAGTTACCAGGTGAAATCCAGACCTTTGTAAGCACTTTCAATAGGATGTAGACACACCATGCAGAATATTCGAGGAGGAGGAGTGGGCTGCCCAATTATGATATTTGCATCCTGGACCTTAAGTTCTGCAGATACCTGAAACGGTTTGTAGACGGTTCTCTTGGCTTTGATGTCGTAGCCATACTTCAACAGGTCTTTGTATTCCCTAAGTCGACAATAGAAGGAACTCCCACCGGTCACACTCTTCCCTGCATTGAAAAATGACAAAAACTGAAGGAAGAGGAAATGAACGAAAACCGATGGTCTGCCGATCGACAAACCTTCTCCCATGCTGCGCATGAGGCTCGTGAGCTCGGCCGTGAAGATGAACTGGTCCTTCGGATAAACAAAGTCGAGAAATCGTCTCCCGAGCAGCATTTCTGCCGGGAAGCCCAAGATGTCGGATGCCATGGAGTTCACGTATGCCACCGATAGCTTCTCCAGAGACACCACCAAGCACGGCTTCTCCTTTAACAAGGCATTGGAGTTGGCTTTAGTCACCAAAACATATCCCATCCCGAGATCCAGAGAAATCGAGTATAGATCGTCATACATCGTCAGATTGGTCCTCATCCATGATGTCTGGAATTTTGGCACCGATGCCATCGTGATTTCGTCGCCACGATTTCTTCTTGTCGTTATCCACAGCTTTCGATGGAAAATCTGAGGGAAATGACAAATACACACAGCTTTGATCATAAACCAGGTCCCAAGCTCCAGGTACCTATATCTAATGCAAAGAGTATGCCTCCAACTCATAGCTATTTTCAGCAAACCACTAATCTGACAGATGAAATCTTTCGAATTCCTTCATCCACTTGCCACTTCACACTGTCAACAGCCTACAACCCAATCATCCCTTGTTCCCTTGAATGGGCTTCACAGAATCAAGGAACTCAGAGACTCATAAAATATGGATTACACCCAGTGACATTCTTTCACCTGCTCGGGCTTGATACAACAGTAAATGGCAAATATTAAGTCCTTAAACATATCACACTCCCAATATGAATTTAGCAGGGATATGTCCCATGCAAGGCAATCAGAACAATGATATATTCTATCATTGTTCTGATAACATATATTCTATGTTAACAGTGGTGGCAAAAGTACTGCATCACCTTGAAGTTCCCATTTCTTTGATTCTGCAAATGCAATGCATTAAACTTTTCCATGATCCAGTTAAATGATAATTGATGACACAAATATATCATTTGGACACATGGTTTTCAAATGAATATCATCCAAAACTTTATATAATCTCAAGCAATTCAAGATAAAAATGATTTTGAAATAAACCAATACTCACAATAACTAACAAGGTCAATGGCATTAAAAATTAAATGGCACATAAGTGCATTGTGCAAAATATGTGAGCATTAAGTTACCAAAGTATAAAGAAGATTTAAAATCCAGAAAGATGCAATAATCTTGGCCATCATTCCATTCTAATGTACAACATGCACCTATTAAGTGTCATTTTACAAAATTCTTAATCTGCTCCAATTACTGGCTGGTTTCTTGCAATGCTTCAGTACTTAAAACTTCAAAAATAAATTCCCAAAGAGCAACATGAAACTCACCCATTGAACACGTTCGCAATTTCTGAAGGCATTGCAGGGCCAAGCAAGAAATGCTAATTAGATTATCAGCATTGCTCAATGGCAAAGCTTCACTTTCTTCAACCCTTGGCTCCTCAGGCCTGCAGAGAAATAGGTTGTTCCTTCATTCATTTCAAGTACATTTGATTAACATCTTAGCCTACAATGAAGTTCGACAAAATAGGAAGCAAAATGAGAAATGAGGCACAACGGTTGGCCTCGTCTCGATTTACGAGGACGCAATCACCTTGTTGGGGGTCCGGCATTGTCGGAGCTTTCGCCGAGGCTAGTCCTACTGGAGGTACTAGCATGGGATTTGCTTTCTCCGCTCCTACTGCCTGTTCCACTTCCACTAAAATAGAAAACAATTTATTCTTTCTTTATTAAACTTTCATTTCCAAGTTAATCTCAGTTGGACTAACAAGGCCTATGCCATATTCTCTGAGAAAAAAAGGCAGAATTCCCATAGACCAGGGATACCAGGGAAGACCCAAGAATATTACACATTAAGTCTAACTATATAGGGTCTAGGCATATGTTTTGCTTAACATAGATCAAAATAACAAACCTTTTACTGGTGCTGCAATATGCAGAATCAGCTGACACCGTTTTCACATCCCCCCTTTCTAGGGTTAAGTTTTCCACTGCATGAACATGCTCCTTCATTGTTCCATAGAATGGGATTGGGATGTGCAACGTTCAAATAGGCCTTTCGTACAAATGCCAACTACGAAAGTAACCTGAGGAAAGAGAAGACAATAATAAATTCACTATCACTCGATGAGAGTCGGCTCAGGCTCGAAGGAAAAACCTATGATTTGTCTTGGCCCATCAGTTGGGCGTAGGCCTACGTTACGCACTGTTGGCCCGGAATAACACCGATGAGACCCATTGTCGACGGGACCTCAAAGTAACCTTCGCACGAGAGCCAAAGAGCTACGTCAACACACGAAGCAGGAACGAGACATAAAGACATCGGATAACCCAATCGAGTAATTAATTACATTCGCTCCCGCATCTGACAGAAAACAGAACCCAGCTTAACGACCTTCTCGAACCGAATGGAAAAAAAAAAAACTGAAACATAAAACTGCGCTCTCCCGCAAAAACCATACACGGCAAAATCGTAATAAATAAAATAAAAAACTAGAGAATCCACCCCACACTCGCAAAGTTCCACGCGCGCAAATTGAAGACCGGAAGTCGACAGAAGGGAATCTTCGATTCGGATAATTACCTGCCGCAGTCGATCAACACGATGAAGGTCATTAAGCTGGGTTCTGTTTTCTGTCAGATGCGGGAGGGATGCGAGGACGCAAACATGTCCAAATATGGTGTTGTTTCTTGTCGTCGTATGCCTTTAGTGCAGGGGTTGGGAACCCGTGACTCTAAAGCTCATGGTTTTACCTTATTTTCCTCATGCATCAGGGAATGCATGCTTGTCGCCAACTTCAGGAAAAATTCTATTGTTTTGAAAATCTTTGGCTTACGAGCACTTCTCTCAATCCTAATGTGGCTCACTAGGCCAAAAAGGTTCCCGACACCTGCTCTTGCGGCTGGCGTGAGCCGTAAGATCTCTTTAAGTAATCGACAATAATTGCGTCCTGGCGTGTCTCCGGGAAAAAGCTGCAGCCCAGATATATTTATCTCACCGAGAGAGCACTTCGACGCAGATGGAAAGGACCGAAGCAAAGGTCTCCCGCCCACGTCGGTGGGATAAAATCGATGGCGAAGGAAAGAAACGTGATCCTCGGAGCCACGTGGGCTCTGCCCGTCCTGTCACGTTCCGGCGTCGGCTTCGCTCCTCGTGGCGAAACGAGGATGACGTCTTGGCTGCGTCCTTAAACTTAAATGCGTAAACAGGACTTGCTTCGCACGACCAGGCGACCTTCTGGGAGTAAACAAGAAGATCGCTTGGATCTTCCTTGTGCAACTTATTTTCTTCATGCGGAGAAATGCGTATGCCTTCCGGAACGCTTACAAGAACGTTTTTGTTACCAAACGGAGGCCGCCTGGTTGTGAGGACGCGACTGATAGTTCTAAGGACTGATCACGTGGAGCACGCAGCCCAACAAAAAACGAATACAAATTGGGGTTGGAAGGAAAAGCAGGCAACATGGATGACGTCAAATCGAGGAGACCAATCACGTGTTCTGTTTTCCTCTTCTCCCCCCCCCCCCCCCCCCCCCCCCCCCCCC